GCAAAACCTCCATCCTACAATGAAATCTGAGTGTCCCCTGTCTGAGGTTACAGCACAGGATGTGACAGCAGTGTGTATTCTGTCCCCATGTGTTAACCCAGCTGGGGCAGTGATCCTGATCTCTGTGCAGATATCCTCTGCTAATGGGCCATGTGTTAACCCAGCTGGGGCAGTGTTCTTTATCTTTCCACAGCCCATCCTCCCTCCAGGAGATCTCTCCTGTTCATGGCCATGCAGTCCCAGGGCAGGGCTGATCAAATTCCATCATCCCATTGGGAGATGCTCCAGCCAGGGGCAGGAGCCAAACATTTCCTACCCAGATCAAAGGTGAGATTTGGAACAGCAGAGCAGCCTTTTCCCACTGGATCCCAGAGGACAAGAGCTCCCAGACCTTCCTACAGGATCACTGCTTCAACAAGAACACTTCACTGGACTGCTACCACCACCCTGACTAGCAGGGTGTCAGGTTGGATTCTGACTCTGGCAGTGTATTATTTTTTGTAATACTGTATTTCTATTTTAATTTTCCTAGTAAAGAATTGTTATTCCTATTCCCATAGCTTTGCCTGAGAACCCCTTATTTTTAAAATTACAATAATTTAGAGGGAGGGGGTTTACATTCCCCATTTTAAAGAGAGGCTCCTGCTTTCTTGGCAGACGCCTGTCTGTCAAACCAAACTACCCCCATTACACTCCCACCCACCACCCTCCATGACAATTCCAGATAAAGCTACATGGACTCTGCTCCCAGTGAGGCTGGAAAGGACAATCTGTGTTTGCTGTGTATTTACTTTTATAAAAACAGAGGACAAAAAAAAAAAATCAAAGCATTATTCTCCCATCTGGCAGCTCTGCCATCCTCCCTCTGCTCCCACCCACGGGGAATCCTCTGCTCCCAGGGGATCCAGCCCTCACCTCAGGCCCCACAGATGCTTGCTCTGAACATCCTCACTGTTTGTTTCTGAACAGAAAGATACAACATCTTTTTATGGAAAATGCATGCAGGAAGAGAAGGATTTGATTCTCTGGATGCAGAGTCAGGCTCCTGTGTGGAACTTAAACACACCTCTGACAGTTTTCCTTGTATTCTTTTGCCTGACCCTTTCAATATTTCAGCACGTGAATAATCACAGTCATAGCAACAGAACAGTCTGGAGATGTGTGCCATTGAAATGTCACTGAATCTCTTCTGAGGGTTTCTGAAATTGAGGGGACAGAGCTGGGGTACCCCCAGGAGGATCAATGTCCCTGCCAGGGCAGGGGGTCACTTTTGTCCTGAACAGCTGCAGGAGGAGGCTCTGATTGCTAAAATCCCCTCTAACAACAACATGGCCTGGTTTTACCCTTTTATTTTCAAAGCTCCACATGGAGCACTCAGGAAAGGCTGAGAAAATTGGGATTGTTCAGCCTGGAGAAGCTTTGGAGTGACCTCACTGTGGCTTTACAGGACCTGAAGGAGCTGCAGGAAAGATGGAGAGAGACTGGGGACAAGGGATGGAGGGACAGGACACAGGGAATGGCTCCCACTGCCAGAGGGCAGGGATGGGTGGGATACTGGGCAGGAATTGTTCCTGTGAGGGTGGGCAGGCCCTGGCACAGGGTGCCCAGAGCAGCTGTGGCTGCCCCTGGATCCCTGGCAGTGCCCAAGGCCAGGCTGGACATTGGGGCTTGGAGCAGCCTGGGACAGTGGGAGGTGTCCCTGCCATGGCAGGGGTGGGATCAGATGGGTTTTAACATCTCTCCCAACCCAACCCAACCATTCCATGATTCCCATGCCATGGGAATGCCACTCCATGTGCTTCATGCACAAAAATCCTCTGGCTTGGCAGCACCAGTGATCTGCCTTGTTGGATTCAGAGGACAAATCTGGAGGAAAAAAAGTCTGGGATATTAAAAGGAGATGCCATGCTTTTCTTCTGGAAATATTTTTAAGGCCCCAAGCCGACCCTCAGCTGAATTAGCAGCAGCAGCAAAAGCAGCTCGAGTCAGTGCTTAAACCTCCAAGGGATCCCTGAATTGTGCTTGACTTAATGAATCCAATAATCAATTCCTACTGCACAAATAAGGTGTGGGATGGACCAGCTAATAAGCATTCTCTGTTAATTGCTTTCTTCAAGTGACAATTTGTACAAATGATACCATCAAAGTAGTAATAATATCCCTATTGATTAAATTAATCTCGAAAAGACAACTCCAATAACTTTAATTAGCAATGCATGACACAAGCAGAAAACACTCTGAAAACAACCTTGCAGCCCATCCCAGACTTCGAAAGTGTGGCAGCAGCCATGGCACAGACTTTGGCATCTTTATTCCAACACATACACACAATTTTCTGGAGCATCTGTAAGGAATGGCTGTGACTAACCATGAAAAGCCATTAAAGCCTCCCTGCAGAGCACAGGCCAGGCACAGAGCACAGGCAGCCTCCCTACTTAGTCACACTCCCTGAAACCCAGGGCCACAAACAGCTCCAAAAGAAATGAAAACTTTCCAGCAGGAGGAGCAGGGATGGGGAACAAAGTCTCTGTGCCAAAATTCCCACTTGGAGCTGCTAGGGACCTGCAGCAGCATTTTCAAGCCATGAGAATTGGGCAGCAGGCTGATGAAATCAGAGCAGGATCTCCTCCAGAACAGGAAAGGATTGGAGAGCTGGCCCAAAGCTTGTTCAGAGAGAGCAGGAGCTGAGCTGGAGGAGGAGACACAGGAGAAAGAGCCACATCTCCAGGATGGGAGCCCTGAGCCATGGAATTGTGGAATCCCAGAGTGCACACACAGGGGCCCAGAGCCACCCTGAGAATGGCACCAACAGGGCTGGATTTTTAGGGGCTTTTGGGGGGGGGGGGTTAAGAAACTCCTGCAGGACTTTTCTCATTTTGCTCCCTGAACTCAGCAGCTGAAAGAAACATAAGGCCCAGATATTTCCCCACATCAGGCACAGTACAGCTGATTTTACAGCACTTACAAAATCATGAAATTCCTTAGGCTGCAAAGTTTCTCTGAGATCTCTGAGTTCAGCCATGCCCCTGGCACTGCCAAGGTCACCAGTGCCACCAGCACCCTGTCCCCAAGTGCCACATCCCCACTGTTAAACCCCTCAGGAATGGGGACTCCCCCACCCTGAAGCACATTAATAAAACAGTAAAGGCTTTGGCCTTTACGGGTTAGTCCAGCCCAACTTTCTCAAGTCTTTGTTTCAATTTGTTATTCAGATTCCTTGATTTAATTTCCCATAACAGGTTGAGTTTGTGCTTTTCCTGAAACACTGCAAATTCTCCATGTCCTTACTGTAGCCTCCATGGATTTATGGATTTATTATTTCATTTTTGCTATTTGGGCAGTTCTGGCTTTAGATTTTTCAGATATTTTGGTGCCAAAACTGCTGCCAGGATTTGAGGTGAGGCTGTACCAGTGCAGAGCAGAGGGGGACAATCACATCCATACAACATTTAAAAGTGTCCCAGGATTCTCAAAACGATGATGGAATTTGCACCATCATCAAAAAGAAACACTTTCTGCATTATTTACATCGAGGAATCACTGAAAACACCGAGAAACCCCCAGGTTACTTTTGGGGCTCCAAACAGCTCCTTCTCAGGCAAAACACCCCCAAAAGATTTTTGGAGCTCAAGAATCTTTAAAATTCTATTTTCTATGCAGTCTTACAAGGCAGATTTCTAAGTATTTTGACTCTCACAACCACGAATAATTTAAAAGCCTTGACCAGAACACACAGCATCAGTGTGAAAATGTCTGGCTTAGAAACTCAAGCTTGGGAAAGTTGCTTAGGGAAGAGAAGGGTTTTTTGTTTTTTTAGGTTTTTTTTCCCAAAGGGATGATTATTGGCCTTTCTAAAAAGATCAGCACATGAAAAAGAAGAGCTCACCTCTTTCTCTGAGACATCCCTCTGATATTTCCAGTTAAGAAGCCAATCTTCAATGACATCCCCCCAAACCAGACAAATGAGCAAAATAATTGTGAGAAGAGCAGGTCCACAATGAGACCAAAAATCCCAAATCCAAACAGACCAGGAGAGCCAGGAGAGAAGCTGGGTTTGGAGAAGGATCTCTGCAGCCCCACTGCAGCATGAGCAGTAATTACTTCACAAGGAGAGGAGCTCTGTGGCACATTGAAAGCCTTTAATTTCCACTCCCTTGTTTAAGTGAGATTATTGCTCCCCATAGCCAACAACAATAGATTTCCTAAATTTCCTGTGCCTTGCCAGCAAAGCAAATATCCTCTGGTAAATCTCTGAGCTGAAGAATGATTTTTCATTTTTACAACAGCACAATCAATGCAATTTTCCAGTTAGAAGTCTCCAGCCTCCCCCCATCAGCTCGTTAATGTACAAGTGTCGTACTCCCAACCATGCCTGGGAGAATCTCCACAGCCTCTGCCATCCCAGCTTACCCTGAACATGGAATTCATCACTTATGAATCACTTCAGAGTGTGTAAACACTTGAATCACTAAGCCAGATCTTATATTGTACACAGTAATCAAGGGATGCTGTCAGGGGGGAGGCAGCTCTGAAATCCTGGCTCGTAGAGTTCCACTGCTCAAAGCAGGTTTTGTGCTTGTGAACACCTTGCATTTGCAAATGCTAAATGCCTGGGAAATATTTACAGGAGCTGTGTCTTCTTGAGACACTCACAGGAGTCCCAGCACCCCCAAACACTGTTCACCCAACTTTGCTTCTCCTGGTCTTTAAGATCCCTCTAACTTCCAGCAACACTGACAACACAGCCAGGTTCAAGCTGGAAATGCTTTTTCATTTCAGCAGCTTTTGCATCAGATCACACAGATTGGAATCCACGGAAAAAAAATTAAACTCATCCCTAAAACCAAGTCATTTTTCTCCCCTAAAGTGAAATTAAAATGCTGTGAATGCCATCACCTCCCAGCTCCCCTGCAGGATTTCAGTAATTCAGGCCAACTCAGTGGAAGCTCTGGGCTCCTGAGAACACTGAGGTGACATTTTACTGCCCAGGTGGCACAAACCTTGATGCCCAACTCGATGTTCTCCCCTCCATACACATCCATGCCGGGGTCCAGCAGCCCAATCTCCCCAAAGAATTTCCTGTTGACCACGAAGGAGCAGCCAATCATGGCAGGGGTCCTGCAAGGGAGAGATCACAGGAATCACATTTAGGGACAGGCAGAAACCCACAGGAATCACACTTATGGACAGGCAGATTTTTTTTTTTTAATCACTACAATAAATTGTCCAAAATCCCAGCTCATTTCAGCCTGTACAGACTGGAGAAAGGTTTTCCTGGAGTTAAATTAAGGAGGAGTTCTCAGGCTGTGCTTTTCTGGAAATACCTCAGGGTGTCTGTGGGCAAGGGCACAACCTCTGCCCAGAAATGAAGGAAATCCAATAATGGCTTTCTCTTCTCTTGGTTCCAGCATGGAACAGTGCAGACTTTAGGATGGGTATTTTTAGGGAATTCCAGAAAAGAGCGTTTCCAGTTGGAATCACAAAGGAGCCATCACCACCAGCAACAAGCTCACTGCAAATTTGTAGAAGCAAATCCTTTAAAAACTGTTTGCAGAAGCATCTGTGGGGTCATTTCCCAGTTCCCCCGGTACCAGCAGGGCTCTGGGTTAGGGATCAAGTTGTCACATCCATCCTGCACCTCCAGCTCAGAGCTCTCAGCTCACACTGAGGAGCAGCCAGGAACAGGGGCTGGGCAGGGAAATAACACACAAAGCTGGGAGCATCAGTGGAATAGCACAAGGAGGGAGGGAAAACACAGTGCCAGGGGTTAATTTGTCATAACTGTGTAATTTTAAGGACATTATAGATGGTTGTGTTTACTAATGACCCTCATTACTTGTAAAGCCCTGGACCAGCTCTCCAGCTGCTCCAGCTGCCCTGAGATGAGGATGCAGTTCTCATTCACACACTCTGAGATCACATTTCAGGGGATTTTTTGAGTGCTTAGCCCTTCTGACCCTGTCCATAAAACTGCACTTTGCCCAGAGCCCAGCACTGAACAATCCTGAGTGGTGCTGCTTGGGGACACTCTCAGCTGCTGCTGCCATGGTGTGTGCAGAGTTTGCCCCTGGGATATTCCCTGTGCCGAAATAGAAATAGAAAAAGCATTCTCCCATTTGGCTGCTGCTCTTTGAATCCATGCTGTAAAGAAAAATACCAGGGATCCACTCAGTCCAGCAGGGAGGTGCCAGTGAATTTTCCATTTTTCTGGCTTTTTGGGAGCTCCAGGACTCCCCTGCCCACCCCAGGTCTGAGCTCTGAACAGGGGGATGGGATGGCCACCACCTCTGTGAGCCCATGGAAATCCCACAGCCCCTGGGAATGCCTGTTCTCCAGAGGGAAGGTGCTCTCCAGGTAGGAATGGGGCAATGGGATCCTGTGCTGTAAGAGCAGTCCCCAAATCGTGGCTCAAAGCCCATTCCAGCCCTGCCCATGCCATGGAGCAGGTCCAAGGCTGGACTGAGCAGGTCTGGCCTGCAGAGGTGGAGAACAGCCCTGAATTTCCCCAGACCTGGCTCACAGCAAGGCTCAGGCTCCAGCTCTCCATCCACACCTCACACAGTGCCCAAATCTGCCAGAGGAGCTCCTGGGTCCCAGGGCAGCTCAGGAATTCCAAGGATTTCACAGCTCAGCTCCACCAACAGCCACCAAACTCATCCTGATGAAAACCATGAGTTCATTGGATGAAAGCTTCTGCCCACTTTAATATTATTATTTATAGACACGTTAATATTTCTAATAGAAAGTAGGAGAGCTGCATGCTGCTGCCATGTTAAATTAGTTCCAATTGGAATCCATCAGAGAGTTTTTCCAATAGATTTCTTCCCTGACAGCTGGCTCAGCCTTCCTTCCACGGAGCAGGATAATGTTTCATGGTTTGCTGCCATTCTGGTACTTAAGATTTCAATTCTCTTGCTTTATTTGTAGCAAGTTAACTGCCATTAACGGAAACAATTCCTTCTGAAATGATAAGCACCTTACAGATGCCAAATCTAATAGTTCCATTATCCTAGATTACCTCCTGGAATTTAAGAGAAGGGAAAATTGCTCTGGTTTTATCCAGAGTACGAACAACCCAGTTCATTTCCTCCACTGGGAATAGGTGTGGAAACCTCTGACTTCTCCTGTCAAAAACTGTTAGAGGCACTCAGAGAAGAGGTAAAAACCAGAAAAGGAATCCAGGAGAAAGTTTCAGACAAAGGAAACTGCATTTTGAACCCAATAATGTGGATCAGTGGGAACTCACAAGCAGGAAAACGAGGTTTCCTGGACTGGAAAGAGCTCAGGAGCCATGAACAGGAGCTGTACCCTGAGAGCTCCTTCCATTCTTATTTACAAATCACGGAATGGGTTGGGTTGGAAGGGACCTCAAAGCCCATCCAGAGCCACCCCTGCCATGGCAGGGACACCTTCCACTGTCCCAGGCTGCTCCAAGCCCCAGTGTCCAGCCTGGCCTTGGGCACTGCCAGGGATCCAGGGGCAGCCACAGCTGCTCTGGGCACCCTGTGCCAGGGCCTGCCCACCCTCACAGCCAGGAATTCTTTCCTGAGACTTCACAACATGATTTCACTTTATAATGCACAGAACCATCAATCCTTCCCAAAATTCTCTTGGAAGCAGCTTAACTGGGATTTAGCAACTTCACCTTCAAGCTTCCCCTTCCCAGTGTGCTGCACATCCCATTCCAGCCCAGGACACCAGGAAGCTCCCAAGGCACCGCTCCTGGTCCCTCAAGCAATCCAAATTAAGTGCTTCATTCTCCTCTGTAACAATACCTCCACATTACATAAATGAGGAATCAAGCAGCGCTCAACAATTTAAATAAAAACACCATTTGATTTGGGAGTAAATCCCTCAAAAAGGTGGCTGCTGACAATAATGGATTGCTCATCCCCAACGAAATAATGGCCTGCAGACAAAGAGCTGATAAAGCCTCTTGTTCCTCTGCCCCTTAATTAAAAGCATTAACACAGCTTGTTTTTAAAAATCACCCAGCTCAGCCAAATGCATTTTTATTTGTCCTGATAGCTATTCTCCCTTTAATGAGAAAGGAAAAGCAGAATTTGGCAGGAAGGAAGAGCAGAGATGTTGAGCAGAATTGCTGGGTTTGTATCCAGAACTCCATAGTGTTACTTCTTTGCCATTCTTTTGGTTGGTTCTTCTATAGAACAAGTGAAGAAAGGTCAAGAAAAGCAGCTTTTATGAAAAATCCTCCTCATGGATCTCTAAATAAAGATGAAGGAGATACAGGGAAAAACGTTTATCCTGCTCTATTAAGTTACTTTAATGGTCTTCCTTCTTCAGCTCACAGTTATCATCTCATGATTAAAAAGTCTCAAGGAGATTACTCCTTCAATTCAAGGAAATTAATTTCCCCCCACAATTGGATTTGGCTTCCAATTTTACACTAAAGAGCAGGTTATAAAATATGTAGAAAAAAGATATTAAAAAAATAATTAGTGGATCGACTAATCAACTTCAAGAGGCTGAGAACAGACTGGAAGAACTTCCAGAGTGTCCAATTCCTGTTAAATTGCTGCTGGTTCTAATAAACTTGGATCATGGAGTTGCTCACCTGCCACACCACAAGGTACTGGCCCACACTTGGAGCTTTGGGACAGTCCTGAACCTGCCCAGAAGGAAATTCTTTGTCCCTCCCCAACCTTGGCACTCCTAATTCAACACACTGAACTCACACATCTTACAATCATGGAATCATGAGTGAGGTTGGAAAGACCTTAAAACTCATCCAGTTCCACCCAGCAGGGACAACTTCCACTATCCCAGATTGCTGCAAGCCCCATCCAGCCTGGCCTTGGGCTCTGCCAGGGATGGGGAATCCATGCAATAACCTGTGCCAGGTTAATTGTTGGATCTCAGAAATCTGGAGTTTTGGAGCTTTCTGTGCTTCCAGGCACAGATCCCCTGGAAAACACTGCTCTGGAGCTGGAACCTTGGAGAAGCCTTGTAAATGTGAATAATGAGTTAGAAATCACAAATGTGTGGTGGGTTAGGTGTGTGGGTGATGGGTTTTAAATTTGAGGCTTTTACAGTACAGGGGTGGGTATGGGACAAGATGGAGAATTTGGGGTGGTGTCTTTTTCTTTGTTCATCTTTTTCCTCACAGAACTCAGGAGTGACCTTTGGTTGGTCAGTCAATGTCACTCTAAGGGTGGTGGGAATCTGTTATTAGGTCAAAAGGATAAAGAATGGAGGTGTTAAACTTTTATTGGTTTGTTTGGCTTTAAAAGGCCTTGGAGCAGCCTCAGCTGGAGCCATTTTCCCACTTCTAGCAAGGAGCTGAAGGTGCTGTCACACTTCCTGTAAGTTTTGATAAGATATAATAAACATCCAAGCCCAAACACGAGAATTGCCTCAATTGCCTTTCTATCAATCCTGGCCCTGAAAGAAAACAAACAAAACTGATGACAAAGCACTACTGAGAGGTGCAAAGCCCAGCCCACCCCCAGTGAACCTCCCAGGAACAATTCCTTCCCAATATCCCACCCACCCTGCCCTCTGCACTCTGACCCCATTCCCCAGCCTGTCCCTCTCTGGCTGCCCCATGGCCCCCTCAGACCCTGGGCAGTTGTGAATTCTTAAAAGTGAATTCCCCATGAGTTGAACATGGCCCACAAGCACAGCTTCTGGGAAGGCTGTGAAAATTAGAGTTTTCAAATTGAAAATTCCCGGGTGGCTGCTGTTCCTAAAAAGTAAAACCACAAGAAAACTGGTTTTTTTCCTTCTTGTGGAAAAGTTCCTATAGACTAAAAAGGGGAGACTCCTCTCCCTAAAGTGAACTTTAAAAAAAAAATTTAAGTTGAAAACTAACTGTGTTTCTGTATGTTGTTAAAAAGAAGAAAAAGGTGTGGGAGAGGGGAAAAGGAGGGGTCTGAAGATTTTATTCTGAATTTATTATTTCTTTATATTGTTAATAAAATTTTATTTATACCCTTTAAGTTTTAAACCTGCCTTACTTTTACTCCTAATCCTATCTCACAGAAAAAATTAAGTATATTAAAATTTAAAAAATCTAAACCACTACACTAAATTAGTGTTTCTGCCCAGTTGTAAACTAAAACCAAAACAGGAGTGCTGTGAGCTCTCCACACAGCCTC